CTAGGTTGTTTTTAGCGTCAGGTTCAGAGTGCCACATGGACCGTCCTTGATTTCCTCCCCACGAGCAGCCAAAAAGTCCTCCACACTACCAAGCTCCTCAAACAATCCAAATCGATCAGCAATAACGTGCAAATTGCCACAGGCATCACACTTGGCAATAACAACGCCTTCCTTGTATGAATCGCCAGCCATGGTCTTCATCGAACGTGCCTCGCAGACTTTGCACGAGATCAGTATGCTAAGATCGTGTTTTTCGGACACCTTCAGTTTCGAATTCATGTCGAGCATTTTGGGAATTTCATGTTTGGCCTGAATTGCGGTGGGTTGATTGTTAGCTTTGGTGTTGATGCTTAAGCCTCGAGTGTACGGTTTATATCTGCGGAAGAAAAAGCTCGGAGAAAGACGCAAATTCCAGGAGAGATCTGCAGAAAGAACTGATTATATATAAGGCATATATGTCCCAAAAGCATTTTCTTGAAAAATGAGGCCTGTTTTTTCCATTTTTTTTGTATTAAATATTTAAATTATGTTGTTTGATGACCAAATACATTAATAAGAATGAAATTGTTCCAAAATCCATGTAATTGTTTATTCCCCATGCTTAAGTGCAATGGTGAATGTCGGTAATCAATCCTTCTCATGAACAAGAACTTACCCAGATTAAAATAAAGGTTCCACTATTTCCTAAGAATTGTGTGATTATGAATTTCTTAGTCGGTAAATTCCGCAGATCAGTATAAGAACACATACCCACAGAATCAGCATGCTTCGAAAGAGTAAACTGAGAATATGAAATAACATACTCTGACAAATCAATTTAGAGATGAATATCAACATAAGACTAAAGCCGAGAATCACTCAAAAGAACATATATCGTGAGTCAGTTAACTTGATGCGTGCTTCTGGAAGCTAAGGATTTTTTACTCTTAAAGAGCTAAACAAAACCTCTTTTCTCCATTCTCTAAGGTTATAAATCTAGTCGAAAATTTAAAAAACATTTTTCTTGTCGCGGTTAAGTAATTAATATTTCAATTAAAGCATGAAAAGAAACTCGTTTGCCAATCATAGGCAAAGAAAGAAAGCAACAATTTCAACAATATTGTTTATGCAGTTCTTGTAAAGGATTTCCGTACCATTTTCAAAGATCGATATCTTTTATACTTTCATTCATCACTCATCAGCCACTACCAAATGTGACGGTAACAGCATTTCCAAACATTACATAACAATCCGAACAAAATATAGAATAGATTTTTCCATTTCCTCCTAAATGCTTGCTATCTAGCTCGCCAGAGCATTTTCTCTAATTCTTTCTACACTCAAATGAAAGCAAAGAGGCCAAATCCCAACTAATCGAACAAGAACCATATAATTACTAGAGGACAAGGCTATAACTATAACTCCACAATCTTATACCTCCCCTTAGGCATTCCCGAGCATTTATCCATCTCAAAACCCTAATCACCAAAAATGACATTCAAATTCGCATCAATTTCCACACCAGACAGCCCAAAAACGGAATCACACGACATAAAACGATTTAACCAAACCCAACAGTTTAATCCCTTCTAAACATATCTACGATCAGTGTTCATACACCAAGCTTTCGATTCCCACACAAACAACACATAAAACGCGAAGTGTACATATGTATACATGTATACTTAGCCGGCGTTACCTCTAGTAAGAGGGATTTGGGGGATTCTCTCCGCCAGTAGAGAACAGTTTCCGATGGCCGCCATATTTGCTTTGCTGTGGTTTATTTGTGTTTATTTCTCCTTTTTACCGTGCAGAAGATAAATTTGAAAGAAGTTTAAAAACACAAACATATGAGGTTTACCATTAGAGGGCATCTGCAAACGAACAAGTATTTTATCGTCATACAAATTACTCATTATTACAAAATTTACCCCACTGTCCTTCGTTGTATACATGGACCAAAGCCTGTCCCAGGCCCATTTATAGCCCAAAAACCTAGGATTATATCCACTATTTTTAAAAAATACATAATAGTTTCATCTATCTATAAATTTTTTTAGTAAGTTTTACTAAAAAATAAATTGATCGACTTTCCACTATAAGAATGATTTTAAAAAACACATGCATCTTATATTTTGATAAAATTGAAATTTTAATGAAATATATTCTCAAAATATTATCCACATTTTTTTGTAACTAAAATCGTTTTGTATCCACATTTTTAGGTAGCAAAATTGTTTTCGAATTTGATGTTTAATATTTAATGTCAAACCTTATTTAATTATTTAAGAAATAAATTCAAATCAATTTAAAAAATGTGTGCAACTTTTATAAAGAAAATCCGTGTGCAGCTTTTCAATATTTGAACGCACCGAGTTCTTGTGGATTCTTATGTATTTTTTTTAACCCAAAATTTGAAAAGATTTTGGTAAATGAAATTCTAATTTTATCATTATTTTAAACAAATTTTATCATGATGATATAGTATAATTTCAAAATCCACGACATTTAGAAACAAAAGAACTTTTGAAAACAAATCTTGATACATTTTTGAAATGCTGAAATTCATTTATTTTCCAATTTTGTAAGCAAAATATAAAGTTTTTATAAAATTATGGATTCCTTTTTCTATTTCTTAACTAAATTTTTTAATATTTTGGTTTATTAAATTCAAATTAATTGATATCACATAACAATCTGTTCATAACTAATTTATCAAATTAAATTAGTTATGATTTTATTATTATTATTATTATTATTATTGAGAAAAAAAATTATCTCTTTAATTAGTATCAATTCCGGTGAATAGAATCGTGTATATCCCATAAACATGATTGGTAGTCAATTAATTACGCTTATCTCTTTCAGTTATATTTATCTCATTAAAACAAGTCTTATCAAATGATATGGTAAATCGATTAAGTTTATCTCTTTACGAGATGATAAATATTGGTATGGGAATTAAAAGAATGGACGAAAGGATTGAAACGAGCAAATAAATGAGTGCAGGCTTGTGGTACGACCACCTGCACTGGCAGTGGGTTGTGAAGTGGGTCGTGTCACTTTGTTTGGAGAAAATTCTTTACTCAAGGCTTGACACGGGCTCTGACACGAGATTTAACACAGATATTCTAGTCGTGTACTGCGCGCGTAGGCTTGTTTTTTTATCTTTACCTATTTTGAATAGGAAAAGTCTCGGGGATGGTATAAAATACATATTTTGCCTACTTATTAGGAAAAGAACGTGGGATACACAGAAGAGAACACTAGAACACACAAGAGAGGTAATTGAGAAGCAAAAACATCCAACTAGGATGGTTTACCTAATCGGTGACGGCAAAATTCAATGCGTTAACTACGAAGGATGGAATTTACTCAATAAAACAACAAATATGTTCAATGTGTTAACTATTTGAGTTGTGGATGGCATTTACCCAAACTGTGTCGGTAAAATTCCAAATCGTCAGATCGATATACATACAAATGTTTGTGCTTGTGCGTGCGATTCGATGGTTCGAATTCGATAAATCGATCCTATCAAAATTTTCCCGATTTGGGATTAAAAAAAATCCACACAGATCATCATAACTTTATGAAAGAACTGAATAATTGATAAAGCCACTCCAAAACCAGATGCTAATTTTCAGTGTTATGCCTAATATTCGTGCAAGGATTCACTGATTGGGCCCTCGTTTTCCTCTTTTCAAGGAACCTCTTCAGTGATGTTTTCAGTGTTGGGCTGGAAATGGGTGAATTGGGCAGCGGCGACGGATATGGGCTAAGTCCAAGCCCACTATTCGATTTCTTTTCCATTTCTTTACTTGCAAGAAATATAATTTCCCTGGCCTGCATAAATAAAATAAATAAACAAATAAATTACACAATAAAATTGATTATTTCTCTTTATAAGCATCTCTCCTAATTACATATCCCTCCTCTCCACAGTGTTATTTTTTTTTTTCGGTACAAAGAAGGAGGCCAAAGGCCTAGAGGGTTGGTCAAGCTAAAACGCGTCGGGGATACGAAATCCCCATAATATCATGATCAAGCCATGGTCCTAAACCTACAGGAGGATTTGGTACTCGTTGGAGACCAAGCGGAGATGAGGCCGCCAAACTCGCCATGTGGTCTGCTGCGAAATTAGCTTCTCTATGCACATGGTGGATCTTCACATTCCAATTATTCTGTATCATGTTTCGAATGGCCCTTACTATCGCTGAGTGCGTCCCAAAATCGTCTTCAGTGCCGCAGACCATGTTTGTCACACATTTACTGTCCACTTCTGCTATGACCTGACGAAGCCCCAATTCCCAAGCCAAGTGTAGTCCTTGTAAGAGTCCCCAAAGCTCGGCTCCCGTGATAGTGCAAAACCCTATATTCATATAAAACCCTTCTATCCATCGGCCGACTTCATCCCTAATAAGGCCGCCCGCGTAGCCCATTCCAGTGGATTTGCTAAACGCACCGTCATCTGTGACACTCAATATTGTACTATTTGTAAAAGCTACCCATATAATTTGACACTCAATATTCAGATAATTTGTACTGTAACAACACTACAAATACATTATGCAACAACATTCGAAAGGAATAATTTTATTTGATCCATTTGAAAATTGTACTATTTGTGAGTTATACCTGAAGCTCTGTGGCGTCACAGGAAGCAACTCTTCCATTGTAGAAAATAGTCAACGGCTTCGTGATCTTGTTTGGTCTCTCCTCATCAAGCCTAATAATCAATCACACACAATCATAAACAAACATGAACTAATCAATATTCGAATGACTTTTTTTTTTTAAANTTTTTTTTTTTTAAAAAAAAAAAAAAGAAAAGAAAGAAGAACCTTAACTAATTTTAATCTCAGTCCCACTTTTTTTTAGCATTTTTCACTTTCCAAAATGAAATACAACCAAAGTGTGATTTCAACGAAATATAGTCATTTTGTCATTTGAAATGACGCAATTATTCGTACTACTAAAATCAGGGGCGGAGGCAGGATTAGAAGTCTACTCGGGATAAAATTATTTAACCAAAAATAAAATAGTATCTCAAAATATCAAATAAGGTATTGTCCTTAGTGTATTTATTATTGTAAAAAGTTAACTAAATTTGAAAAATCTAAATAAGAAAAACAATTAATATGAAAAATGAATGATATAATATGTTGGAAGTTATTCTGCCATTCAATATATATTGAAAAATATGTTTTAAGTTTTCAAAATAAGATATTAAATTCTTGAAACACAAAAATAATAAAAGAAGGATTTTGGATTTGATATTAGATCAGCTTTTATCTTGGCTATAAATCTATTTTATAATTTTCAATTTTAAGTCACTAGTCAAATCTAGCTCCCAAATTAATAAGAAAGCATACAAGACTTACACCTCTAAAAGTATCATATATAAAATAAAGTGATATCAATACATATTAAATAAATAAAATTGCAATTATTTTCAACACTACATTATCAAAATTTAAGAATTAGATTTTAAAAGCAGTTTAAGCACAATGCAAAACAATTGAAGAAAATGTGTTGGGTTATCTAAATTTTAAAAGTCGTGCTTAAAAGCCAATTAAGCAAGATGCAAAACAATTGAGCCCACCAAAATAATTATTTTTAACAATCCATTATAATAAATAAAGCACTATGCGGAACAATTTAAGAATTAGATACATTGGGTATCTAAAGTCCACCCGGGCTGAAGCCCGGGCAACACAACACATGCCTCCGCCCCTGACTAGAATCCATTTCTAGGGATTTGAGAGACTCCAGAAATGGTTTATAGACTGTCTAAAAACCAATTCTGGAGTCCCAGATTTCCTAGAAATGATTTATGGTAATAAAGGTAATTGTATCATTTCACATGAAAAAATGATATTTCATATTTTACACAATAATAAGACTATTAACATATATTATTACTTTTACCGTTAACATTTGCATGTACTTACGGAATTTGTTAGAGAGAGAAAAAGAGAGGGAGAGAGTAGGCATGTAAACGAGTCGAGCTCGATCTTAGGGTGCTCAAGCTTGAGCTCGAGTTCGACTCGTTAAATAAACGAGCCAAACATTGAGCTCGAGCTCGGCTCGTTTATTAATATTAACGAACCGAGTCTGAGCCTCAACAGACTGATCTTGAGCTTTACTAAGCCAAATTATAAAAAATTACATAAAAAAATATTTTTTAGAACATAGCTCAACTCGTTAACCAAACGAGCTTTAAATGAGTCCGAACATAGCTCAACTCGTTTAATTTAAGAGCAATAGGAGAGAATTTCAACTTACGTGGTGTTCATGTATCGGCCATTATTATCCGATGAACGTGAAAACACAGATGACGGTGTAACGAGTTGGAGCTCCAAATTGCAGTTTCTTTTCATTTTTCTTCGTCTGAATGAATTCTGTTTGTATGAAAAAATGTTGCAAGAGATATATGATATATAATCAGAAATGAGGCATGATTATGAAAGAGCATGTATATTTCTATATATAGAATATTAACCAGCTGTTACATTTTATGATTTTAAAAGGGCAACATATTTTCAAACACGCAACTCACAAAGTCCCCAACACACAATAAAAATTATTAAGGAAAAGGAAAAACATTGCAAAAGCAAAAGTTGAAAAGGACATACGCCGAAAAATAAAAGAAGAGAAGAATTAGAAAATTGTTGTGAACATATGATTTTGTAACACGCGTAAAACGAGTTTAATTTATTTCCCACGCCAGACAAAAATGCCACACTTTGAGGCTTTGTAGAGAGTTCGAGTACAATGATACACAGCAGCCATTTTTAAATTGAACATGTTTTTATTATTTATTATTTTAATCTTTAATTTGCTGATCAACTTGTTCATAATAAACTATGGATTTAATAGATTAGCACGTAATGAACTAATGATGCAGAAATTGAGACTCTTATTTTGCGGAGTTATATAGATTATCATCACACATACAGATAGATAGATATATTTTTTAATAGTAATACAATATTATAAAGGTATATGTAATTAACTAATAGGGTATTGTTTGCACGACTTAATTTCATGCCGGAAACATATGCTACAAAATATAAAATCGGTTAATCCCAAGATGAAATTGGGAATTTTAAGTTCAAAAATATATAGGAATGAGACATTCTACTATTCCAAAATCGTGTTGGATGACGTGACAATTATATATACAAGTGTCATTCATCAAATAAAATAAAATATGTATTAAAACTTAATTTTGGAATAGATTTTTTTACCCAAAATTGTAAAGTTACCAAACACAAGTTCCAGCATTTACGAATCGGTCAAACAACCAAAATAATCCACATGCCAAAAGCTACCTAAAACGCCAATTAAAAAAAAAATCCCATAATTGATATGTATACAGAGTTAGGTTCAAGTGAGAAAAATATTTGTAAAAAAAATAAGAATACAACATTGTCATTAGATCGGATAATCTAATGGTTAAAAAAAAATCTAATATTTTTACATTCATTAAGGATATTATGGACATTTTCTTCATAAGTGGGTCCACACTCACCAACCCCATCCAATCTCATCCACTGCCACACACACGCATCTGACACACCATCACCCCCCAGCCACCTGTCACACACACAAACACACACACTCACTACACTCTATCTCACACAATCTCATGATCACATACAAAAACACACACATTCACACATACACACACACACACACATACAGATCCGCCGACCCACAACAAACAGAATCGCGGCCGCCACCGTCCTTCCTCCGCTGCTGACACAGCCTTTTTTCGCCGTCGCTGTCCACCTCTCAGTCGCCGTCGTCTCCTTCCACTTCACCAGATTCTTTTTTCTTCATAGACGCCGGAATTTGGTGAACCACCTCAACCTCTTCGGTCATAACTCGTCGTCCCTCTCCTTCACCCATCTGTTGGTGACCGATTTAATAAGTTGCAGCCTTTGTTCCTCCCTGTATAGATCCCTTCATCACCGGAGTAAATCTCCAAAGCCATCAAAAATCGAAACCAACATTGTTGATACCATCACCGGCGAGGTCTTGGAGGTCCGAGAACGACTGGGCGGGTCACCCCCGGCGGCAATGAAAGGACTGACGTGGCGGGGACGAGAGAGATTAAAGTTTGGGATTTAGGGTTTTTTTTTTTTAATTTTTTTTTTTGATAATCTCTAGGGACCTATTTACAATTTCAAGAATTTTGGTTATATTTCAATTAAGTACATGGATCAAATCTATAATTTATAAAAAATATTAATTTTCATATATTTTTTATACATAAATATTGAAACAATAAATAAAAATATCATCAAAAAATCTAATTGCACATTAATGTACAATGTATTGCACCATATCGCGTTCAGAGTTGCACCTTAAAAATATCACTATACAGATTGCACCATATTGTTAAACAAATTGCACATTAGTGCATATGATATTGCACCTTAGCGCAACAGTGCATTTGCGCAATGACTAAAATGCCCCTGCGCGAAAAATCAAAAGTTCACTTATTTACAGGAATGTCACCGCGTGTTTGACTAAAGTTGGACCCTTTGACCATGCATGGAGCGTTGATATATCACATCTAATGACTAAGATTCATTCTTATTTCTTTCATTATTCCTCTTTCTCATATGATCCTACCTCTCTCTCTCT